TTATCCAATGGCTATGAACATTTAAAACTAACACGAGCCTCAATAAGTGTCCAGTTTTAGGGTCTTACACAGAATTATACCAAACAATATGAATCAAACATGCACTTTATTTATTTACACTAAATATCAAAAGTACATCAAATCGGATTGAAACTAAGGGCATACAAAACTGTCTAACACTATTAACCGGTGATCACACAAACACTTCAATAGTAGGAGATGGTAAAGACACCTTTGCCACTGGAAGATGAAGCAAAGGAGGTAGATTACAAGTAAAAGATGAATTTGTAAAGGAAAAAAATAAGAGGCAACACATTTGGAAGAAAAAAGGAGTAGTGTGGAGAATGACTATAACACTTTTACCCCTTGAGTGTTAAAGTACCCCATGATACACATTTGAGAGCATGGAAATCCAATTTGTCCAAACTCGAACCCAAGCGATGAACAAAATAGACACATGCAAAGACATAAGGGAAGCAAGGGAAATGGAAATTTAGAAGGAAAAGCAAGAAAAAAATAGGGTATCACCACTTAGAACTGACGGGGCATTCAATTAATGAGGAAACAAGAGGTGAGAACAACATCACTCCAATATTTCTTAGGAACTAACATTTGAATCCCATGTAGCATCTAGTAAATGCCTTTTCTTCCACTTAGCTACCCCATTTTGTTGTAGAGCAGAAGATCAAGAAGAATGATGCATAATTCCATGTAACATTATGTATGAAACAAACATTAGAAATGTTCTTTGAATTGTCATAACAGAAATATTTAATTGAAACACCATATTAATTCTTGATTTCAGCATAAAAGAAAAAAAAAAAAGATATCAAATACTTCTATATGAGATTTCATTAAGTAAATCTAAATTATCCTTAAAAAAATCATCAACAAATGAGACAAAATATTTGAAACCATTATAAGACTCAATTGGAGATGGACTCTAATCACTAGAATGAGCAAGTTCAAAAAGATTCAAGGCTCTATTTTTTTCCGTTACAGCAAACAACACATAGAGATGTATATACTAAACTATCGAACTTCACGTAACAACTCACAAATAGACACTACATCTAGGACTAGACTCTTGAAAGTAGGAAGTGATGGATGCCCCAATTAATATTGCCACCGTAAATGTATAGTAGAAGAATGGAGGGCTTTCTATGAACCACCACTATCCAGATGGTACAATCTTTCAGCTTCATGCCCACTACCAATCATCATTCCCATCTCGAGGTCTTGAATAACATATTAAGAAGGAAGAATGGGATAGAGCAATTCAAAGATTTTGTTAACTTACTAATTGACATAAGGCTAAAAGGAAATTTAAGAATTATAAAATAGAAGGTAAAGTCAAATTTGAGTCAATAACTAGTACGTGAAACTATAGATGTAGTATCATCAAGTATGGTAACAAATTAGGAGGTTAAGGGTGGGGGGATAAGGATATAAATAAATCTAGAGACATGGCCATGTGATCTGATGCTCCAAAATCAATAATCTAGGACTTATATGATGGGACAAGACATGTTGTACTTGATTTTGCAAGAGTCACTATATTACAAGTGGAAGAAAAAGATTGATGAAGCTTTTCATACTCTTACCTAGTGATGGAGACCATGTTCTTATCCTTCCTAGTACTTAGAGTAGTGAGTCATCACCTGTAACACAACCATGTTCTCTTACTATAGCAGGATTGGCCCAAGTAGATGGGGGGCCATGGAGATTGAAGCATAAATTAATCACGTGTCCCTGTCACTCATAGTAACTACATTCCTACACTACACCATGACCACCAGTACTACGGCCTCTAWTGTTCTCCTCTCTAACTACCACCACCTTGACCTCCTCTCACTGTATGGACACCTCTGGTAGATCCACCCCTACCATTCATTGCACCACTACCACCTATAGTTGTGACTAATGTAGATCTCTCCTAAACATGTGAACCATCCATTTGTAGGCTATTAGCTTTCTTGACTCTAGAAATGACCTCCAATAATGTGGGTATGTCATAACTACCTAAAATCAGTGCACGGATTACATCAAAATCTGATCTCAGTCCATAAAGGAATCTAGATGCATCCAAATGATCTCTTTGTCATTGTTGAACTTTGAAATCAGTTAACAATAGCTTATAAGAATCTAGCTCATTACACAAAATCTTTAGGAGAGTATAATAGTCTTCCACACTCTTATCACCGTGCTATAACTAAAAATACTCCTAATATAATTGATAAATCCTTGTTATGTTATCTTGGCTAGAATATAATTGTTAGCCATACTCCAAGGTATCTTTAGTGGTGTCAATGAACATAAAATTTATACTAATATGTGGCTCCATATCATTGCGATGACATGCCATAATCTGTTCTTTTTCTTGTACTCAATCATTATACCCAACAACTCCTGAATCTAGTTTATTCTCCTTAATAAATGTTAATTTACCCCAAGTAGTCAAATTTACAACACATGATTTTTCCCAATGTATATAATTTTGTAGCACCCAAAGTCATTTGAACAGCCATGAAATCTGGATGTATCATTATACTTGACTTAGTTTCACTACCTGAGACTACAATAATCATAATAATAATAATGCTGAAGAATGTAGCACTTAAGCAGTAAAAAATAAGAACCAATTCACTTCAAGGAAAGAACCACCAAAAAATTGATTTTGTACTGGTTTAAAAGCACTAGTTGGAAAGTCATACTCTATGAAAAACACAAAATACATTCTAACTAAGGTTTTAAAAGGCTAAAGGTGAAGGTGGGGCTGTTAAGTCTTGGAGAGGCGAGGCGTAAGCCTCAAGGTGGTTTGAGGAATAAGCAACTAGTATACTCCAATAATGGGATAAGGATCGTTTTCTTAAATGGTTCACTTACGTAACCGTTAAAAGTATTATTAGGCTTGAATAATGTGTAGCATGGGACCCACAAAGGTTTCATATCTGTCCATATGGATTCAGCCCGTGTCTGGGAACACATGGGCTGAATTCATTGCACATAGGTAGTGAACCCCTGAGCCAATCAAATTGGGTTCAATATAGGCCCAATAAATAAAGCCTAAGGATAATGAATTCCTATAAAATAAAGTGTATTAGGCTTCAGTCCTATAATGGTCTATTGCCTTTAACTTCGCAACCTTAAATAATTAAAACACTATTTACAAGGATGGACCTCTTCTTTAACTACAAAATGTAGTGTTATACCCTCTGATTAGATGAATCTTAGGATTAAATCCTTTTGCAAATCATTTTCATAAAATAATATAATATAAATATAAATGCATTTTGCAAAGAGATTTCAATACAATTAAAATTCATTGCTGGTAGTTTTAGATTTCCATCGAAGAGAGTGTAAACCTTGATATTCACTTTGTCTAATAAAGGGGCTAATGTCATCACAATGATCATGTCATCACAATGATCACCCACTTAGGTAATATCTTAAACTACTCCAACATACTCATATATCATAAACAACACTTTTTTTTTTTGAGAATGGCAAAAGAAAAAAATTTATTAAAAGAAGAAAGAGTGATATACAATAAAGCTTTCATAGCTTCTCGATAGAGAAAGATATGAACATAAGACTTTGATGCTGTATTTAATCACAAGGATCTATGTTTCAATAAACATGACAAATGATTCCATTGCTGCAATTTATTTACTTGTTTTTGGATGTGTTTTTCTTTACTAAAACTCATCTCCCTTGATTCTTTTTATAGGTATTTCCCAAAAACTCCCCTATGATACCTATTGTGTCTGAGCAAATTTTGGTTGTCAGAGAAAACCAAGAGATGGACAAAATTGAAAATAAATATTTTGGACATGAAACATGTTTGGAACCTTCTACAAATGTGACATCAATTAGATTGCGCCTTTACAGCCTTCGTAGCATATACCTTATCACTGGAGTAGGTTCTGCTTCAGCTCTCTTTGTTTTCTTTATTTCTTCAATATTATTTTCACATAAAGTTGAGGCCCTTGAGGGCAAGGAACAAGAACAAGATGGACTACCCCAGGTGACTGTACTTCAGGATGGAAATACACGCGAAGTCTCCATAAAATGGTCATGCCATTGTCCTAATCGTCGCAATATAAGAAATATGCCCCTTACAACATTGGAAGAGAATGTTGTATGACATGTGAAAACTGTACTTTAAGGTGGTTTTTAGTTATTGTTTGTTATTTTCATTATTAAAGATAGTGATGATTTGTAATTGACACATTCAGTTTATCATAGAATTTCTTTAATGTTTTAAAAAACTAAAGGTCGATTTGATTTATAGTCGGAATTGGAATTAGAATCGAAATCAAAATCAATTAATTCATAATCTGTTTGTTTTCGGCAGGAACCGAAATGGGTATTGGAATAAGATGGAATGAAATTTTATTCCCAAGAGAAGAGGGGGGAATAAACACTCCCTCAAATGGGGGAATGCCATTCCACCCGAAATGAGAGTGGAATTCGAATTCCACCTAATCAAAAACAGTTGGAATCAGAATGACCGATTCTGATTCCAGACCTCTGTTCCCATGAATCGTGTCCTAAATATTTGTCCATGTCAACTCAAAGTTGTGGGTTAAGTGTTGGACTAAAAACTTTTAATAATTTTAGAGAAGGCAGGCTGATAAACCTGCTTGTTTTTGCAAATTAAGAGAAAATATTTAATAGCTATAGTTGGTATTTAATAGCTTTAATTGATGTAGTGAACGGTGAGAGTAGAGTTTTAATTAGTAAGGGGGCAAGGTGTGGAGGGATCTTGGTTGTTGGAAAGTTGGATAGTGGCTGTTCGGTCATGGTTGAGCTGGTCCAGAGAGACACGTGGCTGCCCAGTCAGTCTGGCCACATCAGCATAGCTCAGCCAGCCCCGTAGTATACATTGACCCCGCGGTCTAAGCCGGGCTACACTATTACTTTGGCCCCCCATCTTATCCTCTCAGCCATGCCAGGTACACGTCACGCGGATAAATGTAACTACAGATAAAGAGGAGTAAGGAAGACAACTCCACCGGGAATTAGGACTTTATCCCGAATACCTCAGCGACTAACCTCATCCCGACAACCCCAAAAGCCCAGTCCGATCAGGAAATGGATCTTTGGCTATAAAAAGGTAATCCATGCTCAAGGTAAGGGATCCAACTTCTAACACCCGTACTTTCTCTTTGCTCAGCCCATCTCTTCGGCTATAAAAAGGTATTCCATGATCAAGGTAAGGGATCCAACTTATAACACTTGTACTTTCTCTTTGCTCAGCCCATCACTCTCGTTGCTCGGCCTGACCTTCTACTACCTCCTACTGACTTGAGCATCGGAGTGCCTACCCGGGGATAACTCCTCAGGCCTCTGACATCTTTCTTGATCACATGTCTTGAAGCGTGGCTCTGTCCTTCCACCTTGGCTCCACCCTACTGGCAAGGACTATCTGGTTGCTCTCCTCAGTTCGTGGACCACCTTGGATTGAGCAGCATCAGATTGGCAGTTCGGTATTCCGCAGGTTCTCATTACAGACAATGGGATGCAGTTCACTGATCAAAAGTTCAAGGCCTTCTGCACCATCCTGAATATTGACCACTGAACCACCATTGTACATCGACCTCAGAGCAATGGGCAGACTGAGGTGACCAACCGAACCTTATTGCATGGCCTAAAAACCCGGCTAGACTAGGCCAAGGAGAGGTGGGTCGAGGAATTTCCGAGCATACTCTAGGCATACAAGACTACTCTGTGGATGGCCACCGAAGAGACACCCTTCAGTCTAACCTACGGGGCCGAAGCCATAGTGCCCGTAGAGATTGGCTCCCTAACTCTTTGGACCAAGCTCTTCAATGAAGACTAGAACAACGAAGACCTCCGTGTAGAGTCAGACATGGTAGAAGAAGTCTGGGATCGAGCACATGTTAGGATGGTAGCATAGTAGTAAAGGATGGTGAAATACTATGACTCCAAAGTTAGAAGACGCGAGTTCAAAATAGGTAACCTTGTCCTCCGCAAAGTTATTGTGCCCGCGCCTGGAGAAAGAAAGCTAGAACCAAATTGGGAAGGTGTTTGACAGTTATGCCCTTAGCTCCAATCAGATTGATGTATCTTTTGACATTTATTGTAAATGAATAAAGTACATAATTGATTCATGTCATTGTGGTATGTTTTTGTGTAATACCCTTAAACTGAACACTTATGAGACTCGTGTTAGTTTAGAATCTTCACAACCGTTGGATAAATTTGGGGAGATTTATCCTGCCAAGGCTGATAATGATTTGCCGCCAAGTTGGTTGGGGTGGCTTATTTCAGCTACCAGAGTGAGACATAAGGTGCATGCAGTGTGGGATTTTTTGAAACCCTGAACCGGACTGAAATTCCAGTATTGCCCTATACCTTAGAGATAGATGGGAAAAACTGGAATGTAACACTTAACCCCTAGACTCGATTATGGTACTGCACTAGGTGCCAGATTGGGTTGTCTTTGATATGCCAATCAGTGAGATCCTTAGAAGGGGTCAAAACTTGGGTATGTTGGGATAGTCCAAGAATTGATCTGAGTGGGTGATCATAGTGACAGGATCAGCCCCTTTGTCGGACAAAGTGAATGATCGGGGATGCACTCTCTCTAATGGAAACCTAAACTACTGGTAGTTGATTTCAATCGTTAAAATTTGTTTTACAAAATATATTTATATAGAAATATACATATATATATTATGGTTTAAAAATGTTTGCAAAAGGTTTTTATTCCTAGGATCCATGTGAGTAGAGAGTGCAACACTATTCCTTGCAGCCAAGGGAGAAGTCTTCTCTTGTCGAGCAGTGTTTGATCATTATGGGCTAAGAGGTTAAATGTAAGACCATTGAGGGTAATACTTGATAGGCTAATCTTGCATCTGCCCACAGTCCTTGGGTTTTTAGGCTGAACACAAGGACCATTTAGTGTAAATGTTGGGCCCATTAAGAGCCCATGGAGATGGACTCAGGGGTTCACTGTCTTCTATATTGAATTCGGCTAGGCCTTGTAACAAAGGCTGGGCTGAACCCATGTGGCTGATGTGTAGATCAATGTTTGGGTCCCACACCATACAAAGAGAGCCAACTGGGCAGCAGGTTAAGGGGTAAGTGAGCACATAAGCTTAATGGGCCTAAAACCCAATTCGAACTGGGCTTAAGTTAGTTAATTAAAAGGGGCAAGATATGATTTATAATCTTATTAGGATTAGCTGAAGGATAAGATAAGTCTTATCCATTCAAGTGTCCAGAACCAAATATCAGATTTGGATCAAGAAACTCTCTCCTAATTAGATTAGGAGGCTGATCCTGAGAAGACTATAAATAGGGGGCAATTTCCTCAATTTCAACACAAAGTAATCTGTTGAATTCTCCCCTTGTTCTTGCTATCGCTACCCAGTTCGATCTCCACCTATGGAACTGATCATGAAGAGTTCTTGATATTGTTTCTTGGCTGAAGAAACAATCTGAAGTTGTGCCCACCAGTCCTTTACTCCATTCTTGCTGAAGAATTCGGTTCTTACTAAAGAGCCATCCTGCTGATCCTGCTTCACTATGCACTGTGTCATCTTCAGTGGAAGCGGGTTTTGGTTTTCTCCTTGGGCGTGAACACCTTCATTGGGAGTTACTGCTACTTCGTATCAAGTATATCCCTCTCCTCCCTTTGGTTTCAGATCTGATCCAATTTTGTTTCAAGAATGATCATTGAAATTGCAGTTTTCTAAAATAAGGAATGCGATTCCTAGACGGGAGAGAGAGAAATTTTTGAAATTTCGCCCAACCTTCCTATAGGGTTCGGCCATCCATATGATGGATCTCTCATCCCTTCAGTGGTATCAAAGCCAGGTTTACATTCTTCAACCAAAATCATATCTGATCTAAACCTGCACAATTCGACAGAATCGGTTCTACCCGATTTGCGCATATTAATTTTTTCTGAGAATTTGGTTCTCAGACAAGGGTGATTGATCTGAAATTAAATTCTTTATTTTCTGTAATATATTTAGAAATGTTCTTTTTATATTTCTTGAAATTTGGGCTGTTCGTATGGTGGAGATTGAATTCTTTTATTGGCGCAAGAAATCCGTGCACCTGCTGATTTATTCTATTCTTTCTTGGTCTGTAAATATATATATATTTTTTAGACGAGATATATAGGATTTGCTTCTGATGTAATATTAATAGAAAAATTAAATTTTTTCTATTTTATTTCATTGAAGACGAAGCTGGTTCACATGGAAGAGAAGACTTGTGTAGAGAAGATGGGTCTTTCATTATTTGTTCCCTCCTGAAAGTCAATGGGAGCCACTTTGGTTTGACCTAAATAAAACTAGGGCTTAATTATTTGTTCCCTCCTGAAAAATATAAGTGCATGTGATATGATGAACTCTCTTAAGGCCTTCCATCATTAGCATGAAGATGGGTCCTTCAGTAATGAGGAGATGCACCTTAAAATTGGGTTATCCATTTGCTGTTGGATCTGTTGGATTGTTTAATAAGATGATAGGGGCATATCCTAAAATGGAAGACTCTCTCACAATACCTTAGCATTCACGAATATGATGGGTAAGCACTTATTGGACAAAAAAGGTTGAACCTAAAATGACAATGAACCTTATCTGACAGAGGCTAAAGGGAAAACACATGAGATGAGTGGATGTGATCCTTCATAGAAGGTGGTGGGGTTATGCAGCTGAAACAGTTGGCTCCATGGATTGTATGTGGTTTCCCACATTTCCAAAGACATAGTTCATAGTCTCCGTCATTGAGATAGGAGAGAAATCTCAGAGATGAATAAGTGGAAATGAAACATGGATTAAAAGTCATATCTATGTAGAAAACATGAATCAATTTAGGTTGTGGACTGATAATCTGCCTTGCCTTTTATCAGWAATGGCAAATGGACAATTCGCCAACGATAACAATCTTAAGGGCTCAAATTATATTGACTGGTACCATAACCTTATGCTAGTATTAACGTCCAAGAAATTGGACAAGGTTGCTAAGAACCCTGCTCTGGATCGTCCGGGTGATAGGGCTTCTGAGGCACATAGGAAGGAATATCAAGAATGGGAATATAAGAATTCTCTTGCCCAGTGCTACATCATAGCCTCCCTCGACAATCCGATACAGAGACAATTCGATCAGATCAAAGTGTCTAAGGATATCTTGGATAGTCTGAGGACAATGTATGAAGAGCAGAATCGTTCTACTCGTTAGAAGGTCTTGAAGTTGTTCATGACCGCAAAAATGACCAAAAG